TAAAATCCTATGTTTCCAAATGCTCTGTTTTGCATGTGCATTCCTATCCTATTCCTATGTTTTTCCTGTCCCTGCGTTTATAGAATCCTCCAATTCTAAGGAGCCCTTACAGATTTACTTAATTTTCAGATAGGCATCAAAGAAAACTCTGTGTGTTATGTCCTACTCCTGTCGTGCCATCATCCACCCCACCTGAGGTGCACCATCGACAGAAGCGTTCACTGCAGCAGAGATCCCCCCTGCAGACTTCCTTTCATCGCCTCATATCACCTTCCCCGTTGACGGCAGCCACGCCAACTGCATTACCATCATCGACTAAGCAGATGAACCCGAGGACCACACAGTTCCGGAAGAGAGGTCGCGGTCTTTTGTGTTTGCTTACGTTATACATCAGTTATTATTACCTGCTACTTTATCATTCAATCTTGAGTTTTGAATTGCCCATGGGTCTCATATCGAGCCAGCAACGAATAGTATCTGTCTACTATTTGGTTCATCTGGGGTCTTCTATGTGGTTCATGTTGGGTGGGCAACAAACAATAGATGATCCATTGTCTATCTTTTTAAACTGAAGCTATAATCTACCTGCTATCATTAGTTTTGGATCCATCCACTCGTTTGCTACCATCAGTCTTGATTTTTGCATGCACCCCTTAGGCCTTACAAAATCTAACTATTTTTTTATTATGCATGTCAGATATTGTACACAATCGTACTAAACATGTAGAGAAAAAGAGAAGCCCATTGTGTGCGAATATAATGTCATGCAGACGCCGCTCCATGGTGGGCGAAGTGCCCCCCCCCTCCTGCATTTCCAGATTGTATTCCAGAGGAAGATAACTGTTCATATGGAGATTCAGAAGGAGCCGACCATGCCTATTTACCACCTGAGGTGTTTGCTTTAACCTGGCATGCTGGTGTTGGTCATATCATGCATATGGCGCCTTGCATTGCTTACATTATACATCTTATATGTCATCAGCTTAGTTTAGATTTGCTTTGTGTGAATGCCACCTGTTTGGTTTCTATATCATACTCTTCCTGTGCATCAGCCATTTGAGTCAGTCATGGGAAAATCTGGAGTGAAAACAAGGTCTTCTGAGCAGTTAGTGCTACCTGTCGATGCAGATTTCTTGCTGGTTACAGATAGCTCCTCAAAGGACGATTCAGAGAGAGATGACCAGTGGTATCCCCCCCCCCCCCGAGGTGCATGCTCTAACTTGGCTGGGTTATATTGCTCATATCATGCATATGGTGTCTTGCATTGCCATGTCATCTGCTTAGATTAGACATGCTTTGTGTGAATGCCTCGTGTTTGCTTTCTATATCAGATATGTGAATTATGCAATGCCATGTTTTTCATCCAGTTATCATATATGTGAATTATGCACCGCCATGGAGCCAGGCATCATATATGTGAATTATCTCATGCCATCTTTTTTTTCATTACGTATTCCATTTGTCGACAATCTGTGTATATTGAACTACTCTTCATGTGTATCAGCCATTTGAGCCGGTTATGGAAAAATCTGGAGTGAAAACAAGGTCTTCATAGCAGGCAATGGTACCTATTGAAGCATATATCTCGATGGTTATAGGGAGCTCCTCAGAGGAGGATTCAAAGACAGATGACCATTCCTATATCCCACCTGAGGTGTATGCTCTAAGTTGCAATGTTTATATTTCTCATATGATGCATATGGTGTCTTGCATTGCTTAGTTTAGACATCATATGCACAATATTGAATTCTATCTGCTTAGTTTAGAGATCATACATGCGAGTGCCAGCTGCTTAGTATATGAATCAATTATGTCAATTATATCATGCCATCCTGTATACTTAGACAACATGCATGTGAATTATTTCATCCCAACCTATTTTAGAAAGACATCATATAGTTTTGTCATGCCATCCTGTTTAGGTACTCATCATATGTTGAATTATGCCATTATATCATGTTAAGTTATCCATCATATATCTGAAACTGTGTCATGCTATCCTGTTTAGTTAGGCATCATATATGTGAAATTGTGTCATGTTGTCTTGTTTGGTTAGACAACATATATGTGAGTTACCACATTTGTCTATCATACAATGTCTATACGTTCAATTTCTTTTCTTGTTTATCAGCCATTTGAATTGGAGGGGGTGATGGCAGTATCTAAGGGAGCAAAAACCCGTTCTTCACAGAAGACAGTGCTACCCGTCGATGCAGATAGAACCATGGTTGTACTGGCCCACAAACTAGCCCCACCACACATAATCGAGACTCTTCTAGATTGCACACTTACACCGTTGGGCAGAGAACCAGCTACAACCCAACTAACCGCAACCCCAGCAGATAGTAACCCACTTATAGTTGACAAAGCACCATGTCCACCACAGAGTACCCCCACACGAGCAGTTTGTAAAGCTACTGCAGTGCCCAAAGCACGAAGACCGCCACAGCTAACCCAAACTCCATGTTTAAAGCGGAAGAGCAATTGTTCTCAGGTCAGATTCCGTAGCTATGGTCCATACTCCTTTGTTTTTGCATCACTGTATTTACTCATACCAACTACTTTCGAATTTGAAGGATCCAATTGAAACTCCAATGGTGCAACAGGTATGTTTTAAACCTATTTCTTTAACTGGAGTGCTGTTCTAACTTCTTGCTCTATGTTGATTTCAGTTTAAGTTGTATAAACAGTTATGTTCTCATGTGATGCACATTACAAGTGCTGCCAATGCTGTGTAGTTTCTCACACTTATATTCTGTCTATGTTGTTGTGTCTTAAAAATATATGAGTTGAACTGTGTCTTTATCTTGATTAGGGAACATAAACTAGAATGATATGGACAATACAGTGACCATAGTACATAGATATATATTTGTTTCATGTTGTTATCTTGTCCACCTTACTACTGAACCGGATTACCAAAATGAGTTTCATATACTACAAGCTAAACATATGATGTGTCTGCTTGTTTCTCTTGTAGTATGCAAACAAAATATTGGAGAAGAGCACCCCACTATGCAATGGTAGAAAAAGTAATGCAGATAAGGTTCAAGATAGTGAGACAACCCTGTTGGTCTCCAAGAAAGGTGATAAAAATGATCTTGTAGACAGTGAGAAAATCCCACAGTCCTGTGTTGATGTAGTGCTCGAGTTATTGGCCAGTACCGCTGGCACAAGCTCTTCGAACTCGCTGCCTGAATCACTTCGGCTTCTTCAGTCTCAGCTACGAGCTGAAAGGCATCAGTCAGCTGTGCTGCGGCAAGAAGCCGAAGGACTGAGGAAGTCCCTGCAGAATTCAGATGCGTACTTTCTTGTGCAACAGCAAGCGTTGGAGGATTTAAGCGCCAAACAAGAGAAAGTTAATAAGCTTGCTAAGCATCTTGCCAGCATTATGGGTACCCAGGATATTGTTTATTGAACTCTTCTAAAGTGGTTTTAGTTCTGGACTTGTTTTGTTGCGGCGTTTATATGCTGCTTTGTTCCCTATATTTGCACTGGTGGCAAACTTTGATGCCCAGTGGATGTAATATGTGTAATAGCCGTGATAGCCTAGCATAAGTTGCTTGCTTATTTATTTCCTTGTTGTCTTGTTTATTTTTTTGCTTGTAGTCAGTGCAGTTCTTTTTCCGCGGTTTGCTAGTGGCTGCAATAACCTATTTTTAAAACTAGGCCACAATAACCATGGGCTAATATTTACTGTAGTGACACTAGGCCTCCTACGGGCCGTAGAAGCAGTGGGCCTTCTACGGGCCGTAGAAACAGTAGGCCTTCTACGGGTCGTAGAAACAATGGGCCTTCTACGGGCCGTATCATCAATGGGCCTTCTACGGGCCGTATCATCAATGGGCCTTATACGGGTCATATGATCGATTGGCCAAACATGGGCCAATAACAGGCCGCATTATGGCCATAAACGGGCTAGAGTTGGAATCGTCCGTTCATGGGCCGACCATAATGGGCCATGGTTAATAGGCCGTATTTGATGACGCTATGAAAACGGCCCAACGTATTAACGGACCACAAATGGGCCGACTATAACCACGGGCTGAATTTGGCCCACAAGCAAAAAAATGACAGTAACGGGCCGTAAGTAAACCAATGCTGGAAATGATCCCAAGAATAAATGGGCTCTTAGAAGGTCGAAAGATAACATGGGCTGGAAACAGCCCAACAGAATAACGGGCCATTAATGGGTATAAAGTGATACACTATTCATTACATGCCAGTTTAACCACGAGTCGTTAATGGGTGTAAAGTGGTACACTGTTCATTACGGGCCAGTTTCACCACGGGCCATTAATAGGCCAAGAGTTACATAGGGCCTCATATGGGCTAAAAGACGTCATGGGCCATACATGGGCCAGAAGTGAAAACGGGCTGGAATCATATTGGATGGCCCATATGACGCTACTGGACCTAATTCGGATAGGGTGTAACGGGCCTTGGGTTAGCGGCTTGTAAATGGGCTATATGCGAACAGGCCGTTAACAGGCTTTCCATGGGCCGGCCTGCCACCTTTTGACCAAGTCAAATGGGCCGGCCTTTTCACAAGAATGGGCCTCTGTTGGGCTGTGCCACGTGTTGACGTATCATAGGCGCCTCCTATCCAATGAGTGGATGACATCTGTCCCAACGATGAGCCGACACGTGTTTCCTCTAGCCAATGATGATTTTACACGTGGAAAATCCCCATTGGTCGGGGCTGTTAATGGGTCATCAGATCCAAAACCCGATCCGATAGGTTAATGGCGTTCCGTTATGGTGGATGCCACGTGTTGGTCACCCTTGACGAAAGCACTTCTGTGATGCGCGATTTATCATCATGGAAGTGCACACTTCCGTGATGATAATTTTGGTAATGTCATGGAACACTTCTACGACAGCATAGGTATGACTATCTTGATTCTAAAATCGTCATGGATGTACATGCATGACAAAAAACGCGACCTACTGTGACAAACACGTATCATCATGGAAGTGTATTTTTTTATAGTGGGTGGACTTGATAGCAATAGCAACTTCACGGACTGCTTCAGACATGTTGCTCATGACCAAGACTTCTTCTTCACTCATCAAGCTAGCCCTCTTCCTTTTGCCAGTGGAGCTAGACGCATCCTTACATGGTTGCTTCTGATGAGGAGCAGCAGCAGTTTCCCCATGAGCAGCAGCAGTAGCACTCAAGCTAGGTTCATTCCCATCCACAACAAATTCAGAACCACAAGCTTCAAGGTTTACAAATGATGAGGAGGTTCCCACCATTGAAGGAACCCCAAGAGCCTCATTAGATGTCATTGCATACCTTCCTATAGCAATACCACTTCCCAAGATAGAAAGCATCTGAACATAATTCTCTAAAGGCACATTGAGGTACTCAACATCTTTGGGATGGTCCTACATGAAGTGTAAGTAATTCTATGAGCATAAGTAATTCTATGAGCATATGTAATTAAATAGCTACTGATCAGCCACTAAAAGCTAGTACAAACCTTGATATGGCCCATGTAGTGCTCTTTCTCCAGCAATATGACATAGTTGTTATCATCCCAAAGTGACCCACTAATGCCTCGGAGCCTACTTATCTTCACCCACCTAGCACGCCACTTGTGGAGGTGGTTGTACACTTGGGTCTCGGTTATGGAAACACCAAAGTGATCACTACAATTCTTAGCCACCTGGTTTAGGTGCACCTCCTTAAAGCCCTTTTCCGTCTTCACTCCACTAGCAATGAGCTCTACAAAGCGACGTAACATGAACCCAGACATTGGAGATGTCCGGCGCAATGGGTGATTCCCACCGCCATGCCCACCATCAGCCGCCATCTCAGCCATTATTCCTATGTATAGAACAAACAAAAGGAAAGGAAAAATGATTACATAAGAGAATAAAATTTTATATCAAGTCTAAACATAATTAAATAGAAGTAAAGAACCACTAAACAGAAATAAAGTGGAGCTCAAACAGCAACATAAGGTAGCAAATAAGACATAAATGTTTCAATTTGGGTACATGACAGAATTATTCATAATGCATTACAACATAGAATTGAGCTCTACACTTGAGCTCTACATGGTAGAATTATACACAATACATTACAATATAGAATTGAGCTCTACACTTGAGCTCTACACACGTGAAATGCCCCTATTGGCAAACATATGCCCAGCCCAACCATCTCTAATTTGTGACCGGGTTCTATTATCATGTTCTATGTCAATCACACCATCCGATGTTGGATTTCCAGTCCAAGTGTGCTCAGGTGGTACAAACTCATCCTCTCCCCACTGAAGTATCCAATTATGAAGAATGCAGCAAGCTAGGACGATTTTGACTTGTGACAGATAAGGGTGGTGAGGCTTGTTGTCCACAATTCTCCACCGGTTCTTGAAAGCTGCAAACGCCCTCTCAACCGTGATCCTCAATGAGGAGTGGCGGAGGTTGAATAATTCCTTCTCATTTTGAGGGACACGTTCACCAAACTCAGTAAGATAATAGCGAGTAGCCCTATATGGTGGAAGAAACCCTGGCCTCACGGCATAGCCCGCATCCACGAGGTAGAATTTTCCTAACAAACAAGAGGTCATGTGTTGTGTTACTACTAATAGTTTTAAATGATCAAAAGCCACTAAAAATGGTTCACTAATACCTGCAGGGACAACAAATCCATCATTCCTTTCCAAAGCATCAGCCAAAATGAGTGCATCATGGGCCGACCCTTCCCAACCAGCTAACACATAGGTAAACTTAAGGTCAAAGTCAACTGCAACCATCACATTTTGGGTGGTGCCACCTTTCTGACCCCTAAATGCCGAAGCAATAGCAGCTGGTACCTTGGCAGCAACATGGGTGCCATCAATTGCACCAACACGGTCCTAAGAGAAGAGGTGAGGTATATTTTTGTAAAATATGGGTTATCCGGCAAGTCCATAGAATTCTAAATGGTAAAGTATTACCTTAAAGTAGGGATAGAGGCACCTACGTGTAGGATTTTTGGATGAACATCATTGAAAGGGGGCTGGATTATCTCATCACGCAACCCCCCAATTGCATATAAAACTGCCTTGAAGTATCGACTGATTACTTCAATTGACCTCCTAAATATGGGTTTCATTGACCTAAACCTATGGTTGTGCCCAACTACAAGAAGGAACATCGCAAGCTGCTCCTCAATGCAGGTATGAATGTTGTCTTCCAACAATTTCCGATCACGAAATAAGTTACACAAGTTATAAAATGGGGCCATGTTCATCCTTAGTAGGTCATGGCAATTTATATCATTGGTTTCATAGATAAAACGTAGATTGGACAACCTAGTTGCGTCTCTCTCAAGCATAACGTAACAAATTGGAGCATGATAGTTTCTAATTCTAGCCCTTGTAGTTATTGTGGCCATATAGGCACACAAAACAGCAAGCAAACCAGCAACTTGCACTATCAGCGTATTTCGGGTCTTGCCGTTGTCATCCATCTATATAAATTTAGCACATATTTATAAATTAATAAAGGCATGGGAACTGATAATATTAACATTATTTGTATCATCAAAACAAAATAAATACATGAACAAATTGTTCAGGAAGTTAACTCACATAGATCTATGATAATCAAAAAATTAGCTGACAAATATATGCACATTTCTTTCCTACCTACAGATTCCTTGTAATTTCCACAAGTTAGCTCACATAGATCAATGATAATAAAAAAATTTACTAGCCCAATAGCTCACATAGATGCATGCTAATCACACAGATCTAGGAGAGGAGGTTTAGGACAGGGCCTGTACAGGAGCGACGGGATGCATGTGCATCCCGGCAATGGGTTGCATCTGTGTGGAGGGCAGGGGTGAACGCATGAGCACACGCATGTGTGCGTGTGGGTGTCGTGTCTGTACATGAGCGAGGGGAGTAGCTCCCATGGCCACCGCGGCCATGGCTGCGAGCTCGGCTCCAACCTAAACACACCCACGCCGGCCACGCGCGGCCTTGGCCAGGAGCTCGGCTCCGACCAAAATGCGTGCAGGGAACGGCAGCATCCCGCCTAGCTGCCTGCTCACATCCGCATCGGTAGAAGCAGCAGCGCAATGGCAGAGAGAGATGAGAGGGATCCGTGAGGGATGGGGACAGATGGAAGAGGGATGGGAGGAGGAGAGTCCAACCTCTGCACGGAGAGGGTGCGCGCTGGCGACATGTCCACGAGGCGACAGAGCAACGGGATCCGTTCACCGGAGAGAGGAGAGGGGTGGTGAGAGCGACGCGAATGCGGGTGTGGATCGACAGGGAGAGAAACCCTAGCCCTCTTCGCTCGCGTGGGTGCGGGCGTGGGTGCATGCGTGGATGCAAGCTCGCGAAAATGGCCGAAACTTGCATGCGAGCTCAGCCTGGCTAGGGGGCTATTTTTCATCAGTCGGGCCTAGCCCAGAACGACGCGCAGCCTACCAAACGTTGCGAAAATTGCATGGTGGGTGCGATGCCGGTGCGAGGCAAGAAACCAAACACGCCCCAATTGCATCTCTCTCTGTAAACCCTACCCTCCATCATGTTTATAAGGGGAGGCTAGGGAGCTCTGCATCCAATGGAATCTGATAGAACAAACTCTTGGTAGACATGTAAACTCTATAATAATCCCTCACGCGAGGTATATAAACCCACCTTGAATAACAATAACAAGCGGAATGTAGTGTATTACCCCTCATCGGAGGCCCGAACCTGATAACTTTTGTGTGTGGGCCCCATCCTGGTACATCCGGTCATGCTAGGCACCATACCAAGGGTACTGATGACTTTTCGCTCTATTAGTTGACGCGCCAGACACGGACTGCACTGGTCGGAGAACGAACCCAGATGGTTGCACGGGACTGAAAAGGCACAAAGTTTGCTTTATTCTTGTGTTGTATATGAATGTACATGTATGCAATGACATGGATATTGTATATATGCAAGATGCATGTGACTAATGGTATAAATGAATATAATTGTATGAAATGTATATTTGGGTTGTATATGTTTGTCAGTCGTTTATCTATACCTAATAATAAAGAGCTATTGCTTCTCGCGGTATGTCATCAAATTTGCTCCAATAGTTGTAAAATGTTATCCAGTGATGCCACCTATAAGTGATAAAAAAAACATTCACACAGGGGAATACCCGCCTCAGCCGACCCAAGTAGGAACCTTCTATACCGCGCTCAGCGCGCTAGGAGAAGACACAACACTTCTTTGGGCCAGCCCATGTTCGGGAGGCCTGTTTCTTAATTTTGATTTTTATTTTTTTTATTTTCCTTTTTCATCTTCGTTTTTCTACTTTAAATAATTCATGATTTAAAAAACCAAAAAATAAAAAAATGAGAATTTTGAAATAAATTTCTTAATAATTCATAAATGTTTATGGATTCAGAAAATGTTCGCATATACAATAAATATTCAAAATTCTGAAAACAAATGTTTGGGAAATTAAAAATGTTCATGATTTTTTTAAAGTACGTGTAATAAAAATGTTAATGAAATTGAACAAATTTTCGCTAATTCAAAAAATATTCATGAATTGAAAAATATCCTAAGAGCTCAAAAACCGTTTGTGACTTACAAAATAGTTTTTTGATTCATAAAATATTCACTAATTTAAAAAACGATCATGGATTTTAAAAAATGTTTGCTAAACCAAAAAATATTCGCGAATTTCAAAAATTGTTCCACCAAGCAACTTCCAAAAAAATGTTCGTCGATTCTGGAAATATTCGCCTATTGAAGAAAAATATCTAAAAAATGTTTGAAAATAGTATAAATGTTCATGAATTCAAAAAAAATTCATGATTTTAGAAAATGTACGGAAATCAGTAAAAGTGTTCATGAATTTGAAATATTCACGATTTCAGATATGTTCACGGTTTTTATTCACAATTTCCCGAATATTCATGATTTTTCAAAAATTGTTCACAATTTCCCGAAAAGGATAGTGATAGTATATCTCGGTGATGCAGCCAAATGTGGTCATGGCCATTGGAGATTATGAATTTTTTTCTCCAGTTGCAACGCATGGGCTGTTTTGCTAGTGATATGCAATGTGTGAATGTGACTACATATATGTGCTTTGTGTATGTGTGTATAGTGTAGCTAGGGCTGCATTGTTCAACAATTCGGCCAACTCTACATAGCCATCATCAATCGGCTAGCCGGTCTACAGTGACACTCGTTAATAGTGGCAATCATCAAGGGAGAGCATTCCCTCATTTAGCTGTTTCATTGTTCATCCCTCTTTCCACATCCATCGGAGTCCCCCAACTCTCCTAACCTATTTTGTTTCTACGACTCTCACTAGGTGGGAGTTATTGTTTCCACGGAGGATAACCCCTTAGCGGCCATATCGATTGGTTCATATAAGTTATATATTACTACTATTTATTATCAAAAGTAATGTCAAACATTGACAATGAATAAATCGGTTTGAGAAAACCCAGGGCCATCAATGTAGAATCAATCTCACGCCACCATCTCAATAATCCTAGCACAAACCTTATAATGGTGGACCATGCATAATCCATGAGTTGAGTGTTGAGAGATATGTGACCTAATGAATGGAGCAAGTCTCAAAATACAACACCTCTAGGAATGAATTTCGATGTCAACTCGTAATACCACCATACACCTCTATCTCGTGCACCGCTGTGCCAGATTTACGTGACCAAGGCAAGCACATGCACAAGTTGTTCATCTACGACCGGATGAAACCTGTTGACCACCACCGTCCAGAAGCACCAAGGGTTTAGCCTATAAATGGCATCAATGAACCGATAGTGACATGGCGGGCACGCTTTCTAGGTCAACTACAGTGCTGA